GTTCGAAAACAGAGCAGGTACTCAAAAGGTATGTATAGTTATTTAAAGAAATCCTAAACGTAAAGTACGGGCTCAAAATAATTTTCTATAACAATGAATTTAATACAGATGAACATTTCAATAAATAAAATCTACATGTTAGGATGGATAAAGGAACTTTACCAAGGAATCAAATGAGTGTCTAGCGTAGTTGGTAATATTACACTACAATTGAGTTCATATGTTAACACTATGTTTTGTCTGTGTTCAAAAATTATGTTGAAACTATATTTGCTGCATTGTACTGATAGGAAATCATTCTTTTCTAAAGAAATTAAACTCATCAGATTGGTAACTAAACATGTGCTTATCATTCTCTGCTAGTCAGTGGCTAACTAGTTGATCTTGTATTTGTTCCATTTGATAATATGTTACTGTTGACACATTTTAATATACATTCTCTATCTTTAATTTCAACATACTTATTCTTATGAGAAGATCAAGGGAATTCTTAATTGGTTTCATTTCTATTTTATTTTTTTAACGAAGGTACTGGGGATCAAACTCAAGATCATATGTGTGCTAAGCAAGTGCTCTACTGCCAAACTATAGCCACTCCCCCTTAATTGTTTTTAAATGTAATGAATGCTTCCAATGTGACTAAAAAATATTGTTTCCTGATGCCTTCTTTCATAGTGTTTCCAGTAATCATTTTAATGCTTGAAGAAAATCGTAAAAGCCTTCCTCAAAGGTAATCAGACAAAATTTTTGACCCTTTCCATCCAGTCTTGACTTTGCTTTCATATCCTCTGTTGAAATTTTCTCTCTTAATATATATGTCTTATAAGGGGGAAAGACTATAATGCATGAGTTGATTAACAAAAAGTAAAATACGATGAGAAATTCCATTCACCTATTTATTATTCAAAAGTTATTGACTGCCTAGTAGCTGAGAGAGAGAGAGATGTGTATATATGTATGTGTGTGTATTTACTTGAATTATGATTTGAGGAACAGTTGCAAGCAAACACTTTCCCTGGAGCAGATGGACACTTTAACTGTCTAGCTCATTCTCTCCTGTGCAGTCTTGTTTTTCTTTACCACTGGAATCTAGGCCTGTGATGATAACGTGTGCACAAATGATAGTTTTTCAAAGAGACAGTGATTTTTAGTCAATGGAGAATTACTTAAATTATGTTATATGGCTGACATCAAGGTGAAGAAGGTATCAAAAAAGTGATTCAAAGGAAAGAAAACTCTGAAAATGAAATAAATGTACTTTCGTGGAATTGAGGTATTTCCATCTATGAAATGAAATAAAAAATTTCAGATAATATTCTTAATAGGGCCTTAATCTCTTAATTAAGCTGTAATGTAAGATTTGCCACCCAAGTCTGATGTGCAAAAGAGGTTAAAAGTTGGCAAGCCCTATGGATTTAAATCCCTTGATTCCATTCAAACCACAGAACTGAATTTACGTTCCTCCCACAGACATGAGGATTAATATTTATCTTCAACTAAGCCTTTTCTGATAAACTCAGTACTATTACTGCCACCAAGAACTCTGAGACTCAGAAACCACCGTTTTGATCAATTCACAAAATCCCTCTCGACAATTTAACTTTGGTTTTTTTTTAATAGAGATTGCTTAAGTTAAAAATCTCTTCATAAGGGAAAGGATTTTCGTATGTGTATATGTGTGTGTGTGTTTCTGATCAAGTGTTCACATATGTAATTGAATATAAATATAAATTATAAAGAATATTAAGGTCATTAATTGTCCTCATTTAATTTTAGATACTTTCAGGAAACAGTTTTATTTAAGAGCAGAAGGTATGAAGTTAGACGAATTTGATTTGTTAAACGTTTATAAATTGTACTTTCATCTTGTGTGCTAACGACTGAGATTTTTAAGTTACATTTTTACATTTGTGTGAGGTTTCTAAAAACATATTCAAGGATACAATTTAAATTTGCAACAAATTTTCAGCTTGTTGCTTATCTTTAGTTTCTGCTATTTTTTGATCATAAAACGTTTCAACTTTTTATATTTAAATTCTTTTTTTAAATTTGTGATTTTCTTCTGTTTTTTAAGCTTAATCTTCTTCGTCCAAGGGTGCTTAGTAATTGACTTCTATTTTCTTTTGTGTTTCTTAATTCGATTACTTACATCGTATTACTAAATCTATCAAAAATTACTTTCCTTCGTTGTGCAAAGTGGAAAATCAAAACTGCTTTTCAAATGAATAGCTCCGTTGCTCTAGCACATCTTACATTTGTTTGTAGATTTTGTTATTGCTCCTTTATGTATATTGAATCCTGATATGTTATAGGATGTCCTTCTGGACTACCTTTTTTGATGTATTGATCTATGTGTTTATTCTTAGCTCAGTGTCAGACCATTTCATGTATCACATTGTTGTTTCTACATCTTCTCTTTTGGTCACTACTAATCAGAAAGGAAATAGTGGGTAAGATGTTAAGAAAAAGGAGAGGGACATATATTGTAAGACTTGACCAGTGATATGGTTTGAACAGCAAAATACTGCTCGTGTGTGTGTCGTGTCGGTTTAAGATATGAGTTGTTAATATTCAAAGGAAATACATTGAAGTGAATAAAGTGATGAATTCTAGGAGTAAGATCATTGTGGATTCAAATTTGAACTTTGACACAATGGCTATTTCATTTTCAGTAAAGTCGCTTGAATTCTCTGAGGCTTCTTCCTATTAGAGAGGATTGTTTACACCAATCTCATCAGTTTGGAATGACTCCTAGGAGAGATGATAAAGGAACAAGTAGAGCATCATTCCTTTTCTTTTCTTATTATTTTCTTAGTGTAGTTGGTTTATGATATTGTGTTAATTTCTGGTGTACAGCATAGTGGTTCAGTTATACACATATGTGTCTTTTTCATGTTCTTTTTCATCATAGACTATTATAACCTGCTGAATATAATTCCCTGTGCTGTACAGTAGAACCTTATCATTTATCCCTCCTGTATCAAACTGGTTTTTGATAATAAGGTCTCAGTAAGTTATGTTAGTACAATTATTAGGAATAGTTTTTATTATCATTGCTGTAGCACCTTTGAAGATCTTTATGATTTCTAATCTGGAAAATAGTTTACCTTATTCCACTGCTCAAACAAACAAACAACAACAACTCCAAATTATCATTTTTCTCCTTTCTCTTACTGAAATGAGGAAGTTGTATTCCTTTCTCTTCCATATGAGTCTCAGAACATATAACTTTTTTTTTTCTTATTTTTACCCTTTATCTCCTAACATAAGTGTACGGAAAGAGCTTATCTAACCTCATGCACATCTCTCACCTGGCGGCCTGGGCCTCGGCTTTGAGCACGTGGTCACCTGTCTCCATTAGTTACTCACATGTCATTTTGAATGGGACTCTCACTCCTCCGGTGTTATTTTATTTCTGACTGTGGCCGTGGTCCGTTCAGTCCTGCCGTGCTGTGAGTTGCTTTTCTTTCTCCCACGCAGGTGTTTGAAAACCCTTCGGCGAGCTGTTTTCATTATTCCCTTTTCATGATTATGCTGTCATCACTGAACAAGTCTATTTCAAAGCCTTTTGGGGAAAAAAATGACAAGAAACATAGCATTTTATTTCCTCATCCCTTCATTAGATTAGAAATGTCAAGAAAGATTTAGATTGTACTCATTTTTATTAAAAGGAATGATAGATACTTCTTGGCCAAAGGAGAGGGAAAAAAAATAAGAATTTTTCATATTAAATACTACCGGAGTCAAAGACCTACCTGTGAAGGCACTCTTCAGTGAAAAGCTTTCTCTTCATTCTTTGGAAAGATTTATATTTCATTTTCAAACTCCACGCCATCTTATTCATCTGAAGATGTAAAATGCTGGAGTCATTCTAGAACACCAGCTGCATAGGTGACCTCTGTTAGGTACCAGAAACAAACTGCACCACAGTGAACCTAGAATATTGTTGTCCGAGTTACTGAGCATCTTGATTATAAATTCCAGAAGCTGTTACCAAACAGATGATAATAGTGTGTCTGTCTGAGGCATGCTGGGAGAATCGCGTGAGTCCACATACGTAAAGCTACCAATATGGCCTGTGAGGTTGAACCCTGTTGAGTTACTAATACTCAAGCATTTGGGGCTTACGAAAGCAGCAGTTTCAACTCGTTCAAGCTAAGCGTCCCCCAGTAATTGTGAGTTTCCTATTTACCCCTGGGTTTTATGCCATAGATCTGACCTGTAGCAAGGGTGGTACTTGCTAATTACAATCTAAAGTTCACATGGAAAGAGGACAAGGCAGATTTGCTTATGACCACAAACCCCTCTTTTCAGCCTGCCCCCTGGGAGCGGTGCCTCACTGAGCACGTGGTTTCCTCTCTCCTGCTCCTGCCAGCTGATCGACAGTATCCGCAGTCCTTCCACCTACCGCAGGGCGTCTGCTTAGCCATGGCCGTGGCTTCTAGTGTCTCATCACTCTGCTCATCACTTGCGCTCAGGCAGGTCTCCAGCACGGCCGGCTCTGCATGGACGGTCAGACTGGCTGTGGATACATGTAGGTTGCCCTGCTGGTCATAGATGGGTGTTAATCATACTTGATGGCCTCCAGTTTATAAAATTAGGAGACCCTGTATTCATTCTAGATTCAGGAGGATACCATTTATGTGGGATGTTAGTATGTATGCCTGGCAAGTATGTAACAAGATGTACGATTACCTTGTATCCTGTCATTCAATAATATAACAAGATTATAGCTTAGTGAACTCAAAGTGGCAACGCCCCCCCCCCCGTATTTTCTTACATACAGTGACGGCAATTAGTTCCTTGTTTATATTAGTGACAGCCTTTTCCACTTAGACATTCTGGGTGCAGAGAGGATTTCTTATACATAAATATGAAATAAGAGAGTGGTATAAATCAGAATATGACACCTAGATTTCGGAACTGTCTGATTTGATTACATGGAATATGGAACCATCACAATGATATAAAACATAAGCTTACATTAGACAAATGTATACAACTTTTAAAAATATTTCAACCATAGAGATATAATCAAATTATGCTTCCTCATTAAAACTTTAGCCTTTAAAATGTTCATTCTTTGTGACTATATGTTTTTTCTTAGTTTAACACAAATTATAACTGTTTTTTGAATGACAGATGCCAAATTAGGTAATTCCAGCTTGTTTTTACTTATGTACTTATATATTTTTTTTTACTTTGTCTTACCTTTCCCTTGTATGGCATAATACTGAAAATGTTTATGGTTTTGATCAGAAAAAATAGATAACTTTAAAAAATATTTATTAATTACTAGAGAGTTTTAAGGATTTTTTCTCTTGCTTGTGCACAGATATACATTTATGCATAATTATAAACCAAAACCAGCCATGGTGTCACCTGAAATTTACCTCTTTTCCTCATATCATTTTATATAAAATATTACATATTTTATAATTAAGAATTTCATTCTGAAGATTAATATTCCTACTTAGCTGCACATAACAAAAAAGTGTGAGTTTTGCTTTGAAAGAACTCTCAACATGTAATAGGTTTAATTTTAATACACTTTATTATTTTGAGTGAGAAATGACGTAAGGAAGTATAAATCAGGGGATGGAGTAACTAGGAAATGTAGGTTATGGAAAATGCATTATTCTAAATTAAGACTCCATTGTGATCACCAATAGGTTTTTCAAACTCCATTGTGTGTCTCAGAGCTTTAGATGGGCCATTATGTATTTTCACATGAATTTTAATTTGTGGAGAAAAAATAGCTATCCTGGTATTCACTGAACAATTCAGAGTTGATTTTACAGTGTGATGGGCACAGGCATTCTGTGTCACTTAGCTTTTCTGTTGCAATAACGTACAACGCCCACATCTCAGAGGCTGATGACAGCAACGTTCGTTTCTCACTGACATGAGGACAGCAGGGTGGGTTCAGGTTGGCCGGGTCCAGTTGGGCTCCATGGGGCTCTGTTTCACTTGACTTCCAGCTCCAGGTTCCGGAGTGAAAACACAGCCACCAGCTGGGTCATGCAGTTCTCAGAGTGAAGGACAGAACAGAGAGAGAGGCCGAGGCACAGCAAACAGTCACATGCAGAGCTTCCTCTTAATCGTAACAAATGTCATGGCTGTTCGTACCCTTTGGCCAAAGCATGTCAATGACCAAGCAAAGGTCAGTGAGGACCAGATGCTTACTTCTCTCACAGAATGAAGAGGAATTCTCACATGATTTTAGCTGATCCCATATAATCCTATTGCAAGGGCTGAGCAAAGAGTGGGGAACAGAAATCCAGTCTTTCGCACACACCAAATCCAAATCGCCAACAAGTCACGATCCAGCTGTGGCTCTTCAGAAACGTTCCAAAGAGGGTTTTTACTGGGCAGATTGATCCCTGCCCCGCTCAAAGGTCATTCTTTCTTTTCTGTGACCACATCACCCTGCATATGGCCACGTTTTCACCCCAAGGGAAGAAATTAATGTTATTAATTTATTTTGATTTTACTTTAAAAAATATATTTCTGTCCTCACTGCCAGAACCCCAACTCCAGACCCTCGTCTTTTGCCCCCGTCCTAACAGCAGACTTGTAGCTTGACTGCCTGTTTTCAACCTCTCTCTAGTTTGTTTTTGGAAAATCGCTGTGATAGCCCTAGAGAGTGTCAGGGAAAAAATGCAGAGAAAATGGAGACAGCAGAGATGAGGGGACCTGAAAGCTCAGTGTATGTCAGGGGTAGAGAAAAAAGGAAGAACCCGAAGCAGGTTTGTAGAGAAGATGCTGCAGAGACCAGAAAAGGGAGCATTTCCCCCCAAATATTCACCCTTTTCCACATGCAAATTCAGGCTGTTTAAGTTTTGTGCTTTCCATGGCCCAGTCTTTCTAAAAAGGAAGGAAATAAAGGAAGAAAAACATAATATTTAATAGCCAGTAACAGAGTCAAGGAGATACAGACTCACCTATTCAAACCACCAGGGTGATCGTGTTAATTTCCTGCCTCAGGCTTGTCCACAGGGTCTCACTGCTGCGTGTGGTGAGGGTGCTGATGGCAGCAACATTCGCAGCAATGACAGCTACTCCTGCCATTTATTGTTGATTAAAAGCTGCACCTTCCACTGGAAGCTTTATATGCAGTTCTTACTGCTCACCACAAATGAAATAAAATAAGTTTGCTGATTTTGCATAGTTAATAAAAGTCTTTGCTTTGATTTATCACAATACTCGAAAACCATGTGATACCGTGTTTTCACGATCTGGTCCCACTCCAGCTTCCTGGGTGGATCCCTGGCCTTCCCCTTGATGATACATACACTGACGTGCAGATCCACCGAAGGCCTGTCATTGCCTCATCCTTCCGTTCTGTTCCACGACCCTGTGATGCTGCAGACAGGAACTCCTCTGCTTAGAATGTGCTTTCTAGCTACTCTGTATTTCCCCAACCTGATGAACTCTTCTCCTGTTGAACAGACGGTCAGATTAGGAGTTTGGGGTTGGCAGATCCTAACTACTATGTATAACATAGACAAACAACAAGGTCCTGCTGTACAGCACAGGGAACTGTATTCAATGGCTTGTAGTAACCTAGAACGAAAAAGAATATGAAAAATAATTTTAAAAATAGCCTTTACACTTAGGTTGCTTCCATGTGTTGGCTATTGTAAATAGTGCTGCTGTGAATATTGGGGTGCATGTATCTTTTTGAATTAGAGTTTTCTCCGGGTATATGCCCATGAGTGGGATTGCTGGATCATATGGTAACTCTATTTTTAGTTTTCTTTAAGGGATGTCCGTACTGTTTTCCATAGTGGCTGCACCAAATTGCATTCCAGAATATCACATGATATCATGTCTATGTGGAATCTAAAAAAAAAGACACAAAGGTACTTATTTACGAAACAGAAAGAGACTCGCAGACATAGAAAACAAATCTGTGGTTATCAAAGAGGTAAATGGCAGGGGGTATAAATGAGGAGTTTGGGATTAGCAGTTACAAACTACTATATATAAAATAGATAAACAACAAGGTCCTACTCTACAGCACAGGGAGCTCTATTCAATATCTTGTAATGAATGGCCTGTAATGAAAAAGAATATGAAAAAAGAATATGTACATATGTATATGTGTGTGTGCGTGCATATAACTGAATCACTATGCTGCACACCAGAAACTAATACAACTTTGTAAATCAACTGTACTTCAATAAAAAAAATTAGTATCAAACAAGAGGCAGTCCGTGGTCGCCTATAGTAGGAGGGCGTTCACCAGGCACAGTTACCTCTCCCCTGGACCCGCTGCCACCAGCACTGTCGCAGGGAGCTGGGGTTGTCTTCCTGTGCCAGCCTTTCCCTCGGTTCGCCTAGGTCCTCCCCAGGTGTGAACACCTTCAGGGGCTTGCTTATTCCTGTTCTACTTCATATTCCAGGGCATGTTCTAAGAATTGCTCAAGTAACTGAATGAAATTTCCAGCTGCCAAACTGAGTTTCTTGCTGTTTATTTTTAATCTTCGCCTTTAAAAGAGACATGGCTATATTCGATGCAGTCATCAAGATGATCAGATGTGACTTAATATTGACAGTGCAAATCATAAAAATTAGAATTTAAGAAATAGCTTTATCAGAATTCTTAAAACGACTTAAACCCTAATGAATCTGAAATACAATCTTCCACTTTCTACATATATTGATGTGTATAAATGTGATATTTTAATTTCCTCATATACATGCCATTCCTTCTCCAGGCATTGGAAGGTCACATACACGTGTTATCTTTTTAAAATAATAAAGTAAAAAGAAATCAATAATACTTCACTAAAAAAAGAAAAATGCATAAGCCAAAAATAAAATAGTAAGTAAAAATAAATAAATAAATTTAGCTCAAAATGAGGCAGTCAAGATCTAAGACAGCTCTAGTGGCTCTTGTCACTGGGGAGGGTGGGTCACACGTCTCATCTATGAATAAACTCTTCCGGAGTGTTTCAGGCTGAAAGCCAGGCATCACAAATGCATAAATGCATACTTCATTGTCCTGAGAAAGAAGAGTCCTGTGATTTTATTTTGTTAGTCCTGTGAAGTAGCTGGCATTATTTTACAGAAAAATCTATAATTTGAAGTGCAACACCAGTGATGGAGGGGGTGGGATTTAATAGAATCTGAAAGGATCACGTTATTAGCAGAACCTAAGCAGTGCATCTGAAATTCTGTGTCTACACTGAGAAGAAGTGTGAGAAGACAGACAGTGATCAGCTGAGCATTAGTAAACTGGGCGGCCAAAATGAGTCATCCTGGGAACTAACACTGCCCTCTTCCCTCCAAGGTTTGGGAAGAGACTGAATATTTTGTGTCCACTCTAAAAACTTACGTCATTGAAATATGTTTAGCGGTTAGAGTGTCTCCTCACCTCTTCTTGGCTGTGCCTTGTCACAAGATAGAATTCAAGTGTAACAGGGAAAAAATATCCCTGCTTCCCGAGTAAGGTGCATCTTTTTAGAAAGAAGCCCTGTAATCTGATGTGCAGTCTCAGAACCAGGTTTTCAGAACCGGGTTCTTCTTTGTAATTCTTCTAAAATGTTTATTTTTAAGTGCTCTTAGATTTAAAGAAAAGTTGCAGAGAGAGTGTGAAGAGTTCTTACACACCCTTCACCCAGCCTTCCCTAATGGATTACTTACCAAAATTAAGAAATTTACTAAAAATTAACTAAACTATAGATGTTCTTTGGATTTGACCAGTTTCACATCTCCTTAACTCCTCCAATTTGGGACAGTTCTGTCTTTCCTTGTTTTTTCATGGTTTCTGAAGAGTACTTTTGCATAATGGGCTTCGGTTTGGCTCTGTGGGATGTTTGTGGGGTTTTTGCCGCGTACCTGGGGTCGCACAATATCAGCATGAATTGCTATTGGTGACGTGACCTTGATCACTTGGTTAAGGTGGTGTCTGCCAAGTTTCTCCGCTGTCAACTTACTGTTTCCTTTGCCATACTGTATTTGTTAGAAGGAAATCACTGAGTTCAGCCCACACTGCACCTCATGGATATATGCTCCACCTCCACGAAGGAGACGTATCAAAGAATTTGTGGCTGAGTTTTAAAACTGTAAGCATAATTAAAACTTGGAGGAGAATGTAAATATCCTATTGAGGGTATGTAAATATCCTATTTCTCCGGAAGGTTCTGCTCGTTAATTTTATCATTTGTCAGTAGATATTGCCCACGGCCTGACTATGGGATGCTATTGGCATTTTTTCAATTTCTTCCATTCTCCCTATGTTTAATATTTGCAATTCTTCATTAAGGAAGACTTGTTCTTTTTCTCCATAATTAATGCAGTCCTTTATATCAGTCTCGGCTCATGGACATTTATTTTACTCTTTATCCAATGCTAACACTGTTTATTTAATTATTCAGATTGTTCCAACTTTGGCCACTGGGGGCTTTTTTTAACTGGTTCCTGCTTCCTCGATGACTTTCTGACATGCTCGCATCTTTTTTCATCTGGCAAGGGGGTGGGCGGGAGAGGTGGGGACCCCTTCTTACTTTCTGGGATTACAAGATGGTCCAGACTCCTCTTGTGTTGTTCCTGCCCAACTATATGGTTATGCATTTCTCCAAGGAGCCTGGTTCCTTTTATGGTAAAAACACTACATTTTATATTATACGAAAAGGGAATAAGATAATGTATTTTAATGAAAAATGCCTAGACTGTTCCTTGGCACGTAAGTTCTTGGTAAAAACATTGCTTTCCTTTCAACACCGTCCCTCATACATAGGTCCTACACGAAGTCCAAATGGTAAAGAATGGAAAACAAGCGGGAAGGAAGCAGGGGGAGGAAGTCATTTAGGTTTGGCGTTATGAATTCCACGAGATGACCTTTCAGATCGGTTCCGATGAGTAATGCTTTATTAGTTCGGGATAGATGGGCAAGGCATTTTAGGACCAAATGAATGAAACCAGGGAAGTGCATACCAAATCTAAAGAAATAATATATTGCACACTTTGTCTGGAGTTTAATTCGATGCAGTGATAATTTTTAAAATAGTTAGAAAACTAGGGTGCACACAAGATGAATCAAGGTCTTAAATATCAGGATCCTGCAACTGTTTATGAAGAGAGAAAGAGGTAGTCAAAATCTCCAGTTTCAGCATATTTAGACTAGGACCATAAATACTGGAAAATAATGAGATCAAATTTAAGTTTTTCATCCTGAAGTTTAGGAATATAGATGGGAATTCTGTAATAGGGAGTCATCAGTAATGATACGTAGCAGAGAAGCTGATTTGACATGAGGCAAATAGCGAGCCGAGGTGTCCATTTCCGGGGCTTTCCTCGGGAACATGTGTTACCTGAGATCCAAATTAGCATAAGACGTTGGCAGCGACAGATAAGGAGAGAGAACATGGGAAGAGTTAAGAGGCATCTGGGACGTTTGTAAAGAACGACTCAAAGCAGTTTTCATGGGTGCAGACCTGGGTAGTGAGTGAGCAATTCTAGCTCACTGTGCTGACTTCTCTTAGAGGTGGTGGAATGGAAAGGGGAACAAGGTGCCTGTGTGACCGCTGTGGGTACTGGCTTGGGGACAGGTGGCACCTTGTGGCTAGAGGTGTGAGAAAGAGTGGGATTCCAGATGTTTGCATTGGAGCGGTCCCCTGTGAGGACAAGGTCCTGAACTGGCCAGACCGAAGCTGGTGTAGAGGAATACAAGTGAAAATCAGAAGGTGAACCCTATTTC